TGGTGGTAAATAAACCCTCACGCACATCCACCGAAAGGGGACAGGCGTGCAGCTCAACCGAATCTCGCGCCCGCACCCCCCTCACCCCCCAATGATGCGCGCTCCGCCCACTTCTGGCGCGCCTCTCATTTCTTTACCTCCCCCCTTCCCCTCTCATCGTATTAACCGGTCCGAGTACGAAACAACAATGTGAGAATCGACCAGTCCCGGCGCAGCGTCCGAGGCAGCACAAGGCAGACTGGGCAGGAAAGGGGTGTTAATCCTGCCTCCACTGAAATCCACACTTCAGACACCTGAAAAAGGTTGTCGCCGGCTCATCTGCAGAGCGCATTTGTATTTGCACATAATGCGCCCGAGTGCCATCGCAGGCCTTCTCATCATTCTGGCATCGCACAGTAATGACTTGTCCAGCATCTAACGTTTCCCCCTCGGTCTTGACGTCGGTGTCCTCCTCCACCGCCTTGTTGAACTTGAGCAGGGAGTGGTTCACCGTGAGCGGCTGTGCGGAGAGGATGGGCGCCACATACGTGCAGCTAGAGCAGACAAACCGGTTGGTCGGATGATGCGGCTCAATCAGCAGCAGCGTGCCGCAGAAGGGACAGAAGTACATGACACTCCCCCTCCCCTCCCAACCGCGCCGTTACCCTCGCGCCCCACCCCCACCACCGCGTCCTGCTTTGGCCGAGTGCTACTCCCTTTGTGAGCTGCGGCGCCGCGCCACAGAGAGCGAAGCACGAGATTCAACGGGAAGTACAGAAGAAAAGAAAAGAAAAGAAGAAAAAAAGACGACAACCTTGCAGAAAGTCCTCAACAAACAGAAAGAAATGCATGAAAAAGAAGAATTCCCCCAGAAGCTGTCTGATTTTGTCATCCTTCGTCTCTTCAAATATATATATATATAGTTTTCACGCGGGTGGCTCGCACACTCTTGTCTCCTTTCACCACCAACACAAGTCCGCACGATGGGTTCCTCATTAAGCACACGGTGCGCATATATATATATGTGTGTAAAGCCTGCAAAGCAGACATGGCATTCGCAACACACGAGCAAAAACAGCACTCAGCTACATCCCCAGGTTCTTCATCGTCAACTCGTACCCGTAGATGGACTTCTCCACAATAGCGCGAGAGGATGGCTGCACGTTGGGGTCGTCTTCAGGCAGGCCGTAGAGGTCCGTCGGGGTCAGCTCCGACACTGTTCCGCGGTAGTGGTGGTAGAGCGCGAAGCTGCTAGGCAGCGCACCGAGGCGACGCGTGGAGAGGAGCGTCGTCTCCGTGAGGGCAGTGTCCGCCGCGGCGCCCCAGCCCAGCGTGGTGCGAATGCGGTGAAGGCGCTCGGCGTTGTCTTTTTGAAACGCCCCGCGCTGAATGACGTCGCAGGGGTGCAGCACCTGCTCGCGGGGTTGGGCGTGTGGGAGTTGAAGCTCCTTCGTCGCCATGCGCCCACTTCTTCCTTATTAATTTGCTGTTGTTGCTTCCACGCTTGCGCTTGAGCGGCAACGTGCGGCGCGTGTGCCGGAAAGAATTGTCGGGCAGCCGCAGGCCGCATGGGAAGAAATGAAGGGAAGACAGACACACAATAGTAATAATAATAATAATTTTTTTAAAAAAGGGAGGCACACCAGAGGTCGAGATGGAAACCAACAGCAAAGGAAAAATACAAATACTTTCTTTTTAAAAAAGGTCAAGGAGAACGGCAGCATTTTTCACTTGTTCTCCCACTCGTACCAGCAGAGCAGCAGAGGCTGTTAAAGTTTTGGTGCGTTTCGCGTCGGTTCCTTTGCCTTCCCTTGTTTTTGTCAGGCGCGCCTCCTTCGCTTTGCGCGTGTGTGCAGGCGACGTGTGTGTGGGTGGCATGTGTGATTGCAAGACTTGCCGTGTCGGGGGGAGCGCCTCGCCACACACGCACACACACGCATACGCCGCTTGCCCCTCCACATCATTGCCACCACCTCACCGCCGTTGGTGGCCGCCGGCGCAAAGCAGCCAAAAGGGCTAAAACAGGTAAAAGTAGAAGAATATAACAATAATGAGGCCCACCACGGCGGGAGGGCCGTACAACCGCAGCAACCGCATCCGGTTCATGTGCACCGTCTTCTTGTAGAAGCGCGAGCTCTGGTCCACCAGCTGGGCGCTAAATTGGTTCATCGTCTCCAACTTCTCTCCACGCGTCATGAGATCCTCGAGGTTCTTCCGCATCACAAAGTGCACATCCGTGAGTTCCTGGCGTAGGGCGTCGTAGTGGGGATTCACCTTCCGCCGCTGCCCGGCGCCCTGCTGTGCCGAGCCCGACCCCCCAACCAGAACGTTCTCGCTCTGCCTATCCAACTGCACCTGGCGGATCAACTTCTGCAAAGTTGTGTCGAACTTAATGAACTGGAAGGGCCGGACATTGCTCGCCGCAATCTCGCTCACCGTGTACATCTGCACAAACTCGGCAAAGACGAGGTCTAACAAGCCACAGGCAAGCCGATTCGTTGCCCCGACGTCTCCCGAGTTGCGCAACAGCAACTTGTTGACAACCGTGATGATCGTCAGGTCCGTTGCCGCGTCCTGAAAGGCAAAATAAATGCAGTCCCTGTGGTCAAAGCTTTGGTAGTAGCTTCCCTTGGCGCTACTTCGATCCGGTGCAGCGGCAGGCGACTCCATTCGCTCCAGCACGCGCTGCTCCTGCTGCCGGATCTGGTTCGAATTGGCGTAGTTCTCGTCCGTGTAGCTGCACAGCGGCACATGGTCGTGCGTGCGGGCGATAAGCACCGCGATGAAGCACCCTTTGGAAGCCATGCCGCGGCACAGCGAACCCCAGTAACGCGGCAGCAGCTGCGATGACAAGTAGTGATCGGTGGGAGCGTCCCGGACGCGTGTTACTCCCTCTTTGCCCTATGACACTGACACTCGCTCCTTCGCGGATGCAAGAAGCCAAAGGGAGGAAAAAGACACAAGAAGAAAAAGAAACCCAACAAATGAAATAATTCTCAGCCCTATGCCCCCCCGAAGAGGCGGAGAGGCGGCGAAGGGAAAACAGTTGCAACAACACCTCCAATGGCATCAGTTGAGGGCAGCCATTCAGAAGGTTTTTTTTTGTTTTGCCTTCTTCTTCTTGTCCTTCAAAAAAAGTCACAAAACAGCAAACGAGAAAACAAAAGGTAACGGGTAAAAAAGGCAGCGGTGCCGAGAAGCGCGCTTACGCCACCATTGCGGACGCCGTGCTGGACTCGTACTTCCAGGTGGGCGGCAGCTGCTTCACGCGCTTGTAGTAACGGGCAAGGCGGTGAATGCGGGACTCGACCAAAATGAGGCGGAACTTCGTGTCCCTGTCCTTCGTGTTGCGCTCCAGGTGCTTCCGCATCTCCGTGGCACGCTTGATGAGGCAGTAGAGATCCTCCGGGATCTCAGGCGCCATGCCCTTGTGCTTCAGGATGCGCAGGATCTTGCGCCAGTGACGTTCT